CCCCCCCCCGCCCCCCGCCTGCTCCGCTAGGCTCATCCCGGACGGGGGAGAGAGGAGGAGGAGGAGGCAGGAAGACAGGAAGAGGTGATGGACGGGTCAGGGGGCTAGCAGGGGCGGTGCTGGAGGTGGACACCAGGAGGCCCCGGGTTTGAGGGAAAGGTGCTGATGGGAGATGACGGGGAGTGAGAGAGTGAGAGAGAGAGGGAGGTGGAGGTGGAGGTGGAGATGGAGATGGGATGATGGTGACGAAGTGGGGGGGGGGCGGGCTGTACCTGCTGTGCGGGAGGGGGCCGGGGGCTGCTGCCGTTGGCGACGGCGGTGAGCTGCTGGCTGACCCTCCTCCTCTCCTCCTCCAGAGCGCGGGTCAGCCGCTCAAACTGGGCCTCCTGCTCCCGCACCGAGGCCAGGAGAGAGGCGGCACTCTCACACTGCTCCATGCACACTGGGAGAGAGGAGGCGGGGAGAGACAGGGGAGAGGAGGAGGAGGAGGAGGAGGAGGGAGAGGGAGAGAAAGGCACTTGATTAAACCCAAAGTCCCCAGGAAGCCAAATCACACAAAGAGGAGAAAAATCACCGAACCTCTAAAACCCCAGGACTGACAGATTCAGGGACAGAGGGGTATTCATTTAAATCTTTAAAAACCCACAAGCCCAGCAAAAAGAGAAAGTTATTTAAACCGCGACCCGTCAGTAATCGCAGACTGCGCGGTGAGAGAAGAGTCTTGAGGCGAAGGGGAGAGGAAAGGGAGGTGAGAGGACAAGGGAACGGGGGAAACGGTCTCGGGGGGCCGGGATGGGTGACTGCCGACCGAGGGCCCGAAGCCCACATCTCCAATCAGCAGGCAAACAGGACTGGAGTCGGGGGGGAGTGGGACAACTCAGGACACAACTCGGGACCCCTCCCGGAGCGGCGAACAGCAGGCATTCATCCGAGCGGATCATGCCGAAGCACAGCACTTAAACCAAACGTGTCCGCGTCTCGAAAAAACCCCAACAGGAGCTCCTGCAGGATGTGTTTGTTAAGAGCTGGGTGCCGGAGCCCGTTTCCGCCCCCCGGGGCTGGGCGCATTCCCCACGCGGCCTCCCGTTCCTCATCCGCGGTCTGTCCAACCCCTCGCCTCCACCCAACGCCGACTGCCACAGTGCCCATTTAAAAAAAATCCGCAGGAATGAAATCCGAGCAGCTGGACTTGCGCTGTGTGGAACTGAAGAGGGGGCACGAACAGGACTGGGAACAGGAGCAGGAGACTCCCCCGCCTGACCCCCGAGTCCAGGGGCTGCCGAGCTGGAGACGCCGCTCCAGGATACAGGTTACTGCAGCCAAGCAAGAGAGACGCACCAAATACCCCCACCCCCTGCCATTCAGCCAGTCCCAGGAGCAAACTCTCCAGCTCCGACAAGACCATCAGCCTTGGTCTCTCACGCGGGGGGGGTGTGTGGAGACCGGGCAGAGCCCCCTCCTGCCCGTTACAGACCACCCTGCCTCGGCCCGGCCTGGACGTTCAAGACCTCATCGCAGCGCAGGCGGTGGGCCCTGGCGCCCCCAGCAGGCGACAGGCTGCGTTCCCGTGCTCCTTTCACCCGCGTTCTTGACGGCACGCGCAAACCCTTCGCTGGCAAGCTGGGGAGAGACGGCAGGAAGTTCCATCCTGGAGTCGCTGGAAACAATGCTCTCTGGCTGCACGAGAAAGCGACTGGCACCCATTATCCCTGGCGGCGACGGCCCAGGGGCCCCCCCAGGACCAGGAGCCCCTTAGTCCCAAACCCCATTCTCAGGATCGGACACCTTTATTCACCGAATACTGTGACTTCATCACCGCACGCAGCAGGGCGCCAGCCTCTGCAAATTCTTCCAGGTGGGGCTGCACATTGGTGGTGGTGGAGGGGAGTCCCCATTACCTGTAAAGCGCTTTGAGTGGAGTGGCCAGAAAAGCCTCAAGGTTGCACTCTGTGAAGTGCCGGGGGCGAGCCGCTGACTGCTGTGACTCAGGCCTGCTGCACGTGGTAATTCGGCTACAATCCCGAGACTGGAGAGGGGGCCGGATCCTGCCTGTGCACAAGTATCCCGTGGGGAGGGAGGGAGGTGGGTGGGCACCTCTCAGTCAACAGAAATGCAGACCAAGCAAGACTGTGACTGATGTCAGCCTGCAGCGCTGCTACTGACTTGGCACAGTGTGGGCACAGTGCAGCATTTCGAACATCTCTTTGTATGCAGCACAACCTAATGTTAACGGGCGAGCGGACGTAGATAAGTATGACTGAGTCTATCGCGTGGGCTACCCTGACCTTTTAAAGCCGGGAAAGGGATCCAGACGGCACACAACGTTTACAAGAGCCGTCACATGAGGAACGCCCCCCTGCGTACAGAGCGCGTACAGAGAGCCACGAGCGCTCGCCACCAGAGAGAGACAGCAGGGCCGGAAGCAAGGCTGACCGACAGGCTGGCCCTGTGGTGGGGGGCAGGGCCCCCCCCCGAGACACAAGCTCAAACTGCTGGGGGAACGGCCACACCTCTGTCAACACCCTACACAACCAGAACCGAGCCCCACCGTCTTCCAAACGGGGCTCCTGAAAATATTCAGGCGCATCCGTACCGTAACCAACGCCAGGCTCCACGGCTCAGGATATCCCCCCCGCGGCACCTGCAGGGACTGACGCAGACGCTCCCGTGGGAGCCCACAGGCTCAGGGCTCGTTTTGATACGGCAGTAAAGGACCACGCTCTCCAGCTCTCCCTTTCAGAAGGATTTCTCATCTCTTCCCAGGGATTCCAAAATCCACCAGAGGAAGAGGGGCAAGAGACACATTCTCTCTCCAGCGCCAGCAGGGGGGTCCAGTCCTAGTTCCGGGGGGACCCCCATCCCTGCTGGGCTTTGTTCTCGCTGGGGTCTTGATCACTTGAAAGTTTAAACTTGCCATTTGAGGCTTTTTAAACTTTGCTTTTAGCACTTGAACGGCTGAACGCGATCTGCAATTGGGGTGAGACCTGTGGTGATGAAAGTTTCAGCTGCTCTCATTCAGGTGTGAAATACAACCGACAGGACTTGATTGACTGGCTTCATCAGTCTGCTCTCCTCCACACTGAGAGCTGTGTGTGAGAGCAGACGGGAGCCACATCCAGGTGGGGCTGCACACTGGGGGGGTGGAGGAGGGGATCCCCAGTGTCTGTAAAGTGCTGCTCTGAGTGGAGTGTCCAGAAAAGCGAAGAGCGCTGTGCGTCAGGAATTATTACTACTGCTACTAGACGAAGGTGCACTCCCAACACCCTACCCGTCTGTTCATCAGCTGGTCTCCCAGTCAGAGCTGCTGAGCCAGGTATAAGGGAGTAAAGTTAACTATCCGAGTGAGGAGAGACGGAGTTCTGAGCTGTGGAACTGGGGGAAATAATGTGCTTTAACTGGGCTATTTGTGGAAACCAAGACTGAGCTCAGATGAGGCTCACCCAGGAGATCAGCTGGTCCTAGCCCTACACCCAGACTCGCCGGGTCTGTCACAGGACCAGTCCGAGAACCGTGACTGACAAGCTCGGCGGTCTCAGTGGCGCACGCTGGCCCGAGGAGGAAGCCATACAGACCTTCAGTCCACAGGAGGAGAGAGGGTTGCGGGGTAGGGGGCCAGCAGTCACCAAACCACCAAGACCACACAGAGAGGAGGAGGAGGGGGAGGAAGAGGCAGCACACAAACTGCAAAAAGAGAGAAAAACTAAGTCATGGGCAGAGATCCCCAGTGAGGTTTGAGGAGCTGGCATCCTGGGGAAACGAACTATTCAGGGCCCCAGGACAGCTGCCAGGCAGCTCGGCTTCTCCCCTTTGCTCAAGCAGCCCAGGTGCCCGAGTGGGTGCGGTACTGCCAGAGCACGCCAGTCCCTGAACCAAGGCCACGCGACTCATCTCGCACAGCTGGAAACACCACACACACACCAAGGCCAAAGTCACGCACAGACGCACCCAGACAGTGTTCGACTGACAGGAGGCAGCGCGAGGAAACTGGCAGTAAAACCGGTGGCCGGTCACGGCCCAGGACACCGCAGGGCTAACTCGTAAGATGTTTAACTCCATTTAACACGCACACACACGCCAGCCAGCTCCGCTCATGTGACAACACCGCGGGAAGTCGCGAATCTTGCCGCGGGCCGAGATCTCTGGTGAGCGAGAGCGATGGTGCTGGCGCTGGTGAACTGATCCGCAGGCGGCAGGCTGGGGACAGGTAGGGTCCGGCTCTGTGTGCTGGAGCCATTGGGAACCGGAGCCTTGAAGTGGGGGGTGTTTGGGACACTCGGGACTGACTGGAGAAACGGGTCCAATAAAGGTCTGAACAAGCCAGCATGTCGCCGAGGCCATCTGCACTGGAGCCGCAGAGCCTGGGAATGACACCAGCAGACAGAGCCAGGACCAGCAAGCTCGATCTAAGGAAAACCAGGCTGCTGCTGTGAGCGGTGGTGTTGAACCAGGAGATGGCACGGACACGAGGGAAGCCTTTCAAGCACAAGCAGGCGTGACCAGAAACCAGGGGCTCATGCTGGGCAGCTCACTGCCGCAGAGCCACAGTCACTGTCAAAACTCCCCCTCCCCCAGGGCAGGACCAACACTGCCACATCTCGGGGGGTCAGCCAGAAAGAAGGGAGGAGGGCCAAGAGCAAAGAGGGATAGCAGGGCCTGTACAGCACTGCATATTCCTGTGGGGTTCACACATGGGAGGGAAAGGGTAGCCCCACCCTGCACCAGCTGCCCCACTGCTGACAGGAGAAAAGCTGCTGCACCAGCAGTCAGGACACTGGGGTCAGCACCCCTACTCTCACTGACAGTGTCCTGGGTCTGTAATGACCAGCAGTCAGGACACTGGGGTCA